GGAATGTTGGGAAAGAATTTTGCATAATAGTTTTAGATTGAAATTCTGGATTGGAATATATGTTAAAGCAATTAATAAAGCAATTACTACCATTTCCTCTTCTTCATCAACTCTTTCTATTCTGAAGCATTCTCCATCCTGCCAATGGTGCTCCTGCAGTTCCACTTCATGAAGTCTGTAATCACATGCTTTGCCACTTCCATCAACAAAATCATATTTGGTAAATGGAAATTGTTTCTTTACAGTTGTACTGTACAATGCTTCATTCTATGAAATAGTGCAAAATATAGACTAATACGGCTGCCATCTTGAAGTTTTAAGAAATTACAGGTTGTCCCATAATTTCAATGAAAGCACACATTGTCATACAATGTACCAAAAAATTCCTGCCACTGATAATTTCTGGCTTCAAATTTTAAGTCAATATTTTTCAAAATTGTCAAATGTATGTTATTTTTTTTATAGTTTGTCATGTTTTAAGAAATGATATCTCAGCAAATTACTAGTATATGAAACACAACTTTAAAAATAATTCAATACTCAAAAATTTGATAAGTTTTACATTTTATGTCATAGACTATATTAAACCTATTAATCCACCAGGCCCCTCAAAAACTTACCGCAGAAGTTTTCAATTGTCGTATTGCTTCTTTGCACTGTTTATGGTTACCACTGACATAGACATTGTTTCTACCGACAATTTCAATCCTTGCTCCAGTTTCACTTTGAATCTTCTTAAAGTTGGAATGTTGTTTTCCTATAACCAGACCCATCACCTTCTGTGGTATTCCAACTTTTATTTTTTCCATACTTTCAATCTATCATTGTAATTAAATTCAACTGAGTTGAATTATGCATGTTGATGAGTTTAATATATGTACTGATAAAAAAAAAATAAATAAAATAATAAAAATAAAATCAATAAAAATAAAATCAATCAATCAAAATCAATAAAAATAACTACGAGTCTGTAGGCTAGGTAAATCAGTACAACATACTGAATTTAGTAGAATATGTTTAAAATAGGGCACAGAAAAACTATACATTGTACATAGACTGATTCCATAAGTCGGTACCAGTTCCCTCTCTGTCGATGTTTTTTTCTCTCACAGGTCCGAAGCTAGCAGCGACAAAGCGAAAAATCCAGGAGCGGATACTACGACTTATGGAATCAGTCTACATTGTTAGTATTAATTTGTACTAAAAGTGGACCTGAAGCAAGACGGTATCGAATGCTTCATTTGAATCAATTCAATTTAATTTGCGTACCGCTTGCACGATTTACTAAATTACTAATAGAACTATTTAGTTTGTACCGTGGCACGGAGTAAGCAGGCTAGTAACGAGGTATTGGGATCGGGGATCAGCGTCAGTTTTTGTTCTATTTTGGGATCAGGGATCAGGATTTAGGCTCTGGATCYGGATCAAAKGGATTTAACCTGKGATCAAAGGTTTTTCAACTGGGATCGGGATCAATGATTTTCTTACAACGATTCTGTAGGGGGATCAGGGATCAAAATGTACGAAGTTTTGGGGTCGGGATCACGGTTTTATCCTTTTGATCCGGATCATCAGCAAAAATAATATACCTGATCGTTTCTAGCCTGAGTAAGTGCGATCACTCTACGCGTAATACTCCTTTTAAATGGCGAAAATAATACTAGTTTTAAGTGAGAAAAAGAGATATTTCAAGTATATTTAAATATAACTTAAAAACGAGATGTTGGCACATTTTTGCTTACATGCAATTTTTTTGAAAGTGAAACTTTTAAAACAATCCAACCTCTTCGAATCTACAAAAGGAAATTCTGAGGATTGGTTATAGAAATGTCAAACCGTATTTTTGCACTCCTTTTTATGCAGTGATGTTAAGTGTTTTACCTGAAAACCGGTTCAACAAAAATTATAGAAACGAGGACCTACAACGGTACTTAAGCTTAAGCTTAAATAAGCTTAAACGCTTGGGTTAGAGTGCAAGTCACATAAGCATGCAACAATTCTTAACTATGTAGTGCTAAATAAGATTTAGTTATCAACTAACTAAGAATTGAGAACAATGCTACAAAGGAATTTAAATAATTGGCATTGTGTTTATACTTTGTTGAATTCTTAGTTAGTTGATAACTAAATCTTATTTAGCAATACATATTAAGAATTGTTTCATGCTTATGTGACGTGCACTCTAATCAAGCAGATTTTTAAACTTAAGCTTATTAGCTTATTAAGAACTTACTTAATAACTTGATAAACTTTTTAACTTATTCTCATTATAAAATAACTGAACTAAGATGTGTTTACCTCTGGTCTAGAGTGACGGAGTTTGCATTTAAAGTGTCGTCTTCTAAACAGCCGAATAAAAATTCCCTAAAATTCGTTTCCACGAACTGACAGCTTTGTGTTGACGCGCAAAGTCTACTGGGAAATTCCCATCGCAAATTATCATGAAAATAAAGTATAAAAAGGCTTACTAAAGAGAAATTTGTGAATATATGTGTGGAAATGAAAGAAAAGATAGAAAATGAAGCAAACGTTCTTTTATATGAATACGCAAAATAAATGCGATAGGCTTTGTAAAAAAAGACGTTAACTTTATTTCAATTTGTGATGTACTGTTTCAGCTAGTATTAATGCATGTACTATTTTCTAATATTTCAAATCGTTAGAAATTCGATAAAACAATTACAATATATACAATATAATTTATTGAGATAATGAGATATTTCGTGAGATATTTGCGAAAAGCGGTGCTATCAAATAGAGGGGGAACCGGTTGCAAGTAAGACCAGTGCTATCTATGATATAAAAACCATGTTATAAACGAGTTATTTACCTCGCTTGCTCGATCTGTACGGGAAAATATCAGACATCGGTCTTATATGTACGGAACTCGCTGCGCTCGGTCCGCACTGTCAAAATCTCAGTCTTATATTTTCCCGTACAGACCTTTGCGCTCGGATAACCTCTTATCAGTATTTATTGCAAATAATGGCGAATTTTTGTAGCTGTGCTACTGTTGTAAGGCCGAGAACCACTATTCTATTCAATTTCTAATATTATCTTGGACATCTTTAAGGGCTAACAAAAATGACGGCAGCTTCCTGATGATCTGTTCTGGTTCCCAGTTCCCACTGCTCAAAAGCTGATCACAATGTTCACTGTGTAAGTGTATGTCAGTCTAAGAAAGAAGATAGAAGCTTAGGTAAGTTTAGTTTATTTTAGATTTTAATATATAGCTTTCATGTGTGGGGAATCCTATGAGTGTGGGAGGGGCCTAAGTCATTTGTTAAACTCCTTTTTTGAGGACTGCATGGTACAATATTTTAGGGTACGTTTTTGATTTTCAGCTGGTGCATGTTTATAGGATGTTGTTTTGATCTATACAACGATGATTATAATTACCAGAAATAAGGATCAGATGACATAACTTAGCATTTTTGAGTGTATGAGTAAACACAATATTGTTTTTTCTTAGAGAGGTTTAAAAGCTGTTTTTTCAAGCCCACCTATTAAATAAAATATGTGAGTACCTATGTATAGTATTGTGTGTGATTATTAAAATATATGAAAAACATCCATAATCACAATGGGTAGTTGATCGGATCAACAGATATTCAAACTGAATTTAACGATCCACTATACCTTTATTTCTCTATCATGAAGGTCATCTATCTCCTCTTCTTCAGATACAAGAATTGAAAAACTGTCTTCATACTCTCCGCAGGTATAGCTGTAAGAACGACGGTTACATTTCCGAATGTACTGCAGAAAAAACCCGTCAGGCATATCATTTTCATCAGGAAGAAGGATTTCTCCCTCAGTACTGAAAGTAACCTTGTCCAAGTACTTCTTTACAGTTTCCTCGTGCTCTGTTTCTTCCATATCGAGAGTCGATAAAACTAATAAGAAAATGAACCCTAAGATTAGCAGGATCATTGGACTAGATAGCAAGCGTTTTGACTTCTGCTATAGTAAGAGGTTGATGCTCTGAAGGCTTTCTGCATCTAGGCTAAATATTTTCATTGTAGGAAAAATGGCATGTAGAAGAATAAAGAGACTCAATTACCCTGTACTCTACTGTTAAAAGCCCCAGTTCGACAATTTAATATAATAGGCCCTCTGGGTGAGGGGCGAAAGAAGAGAAGTGTAGAGAGGGGAGAGAATGGGAGTGGGAAGAGAAGTGGAGAGGAGGGAAGGGATGTGTGGAAATGGATAGAAAATTATATCAACAAATAAGGTGTTTTCAAAAAAAGTGACCTAAACATCAGAAAGCTCATGATTCATAATATATTCAATTGACATGCAATACTTGGGAAGGTCTTGGGAAGCTTATTTTTTTATTTATTATTAGGCAATACACATCAACATGCAATACACTTGGGAAAGACAAACCTGTGCGAATTGTTATACGAACATCCATGTCATAAGCAGGAATTGCGATACCAACTTTCGCTCTGGGGACAAACTGATAACAAAATACATATTTTTGTGTACCAGAGGACAAAGCATCTCCTTTGATATCAACCAATTGATCCATAAAGTTAAGGTTTGGTTTACCGTCTAAATCAAGAAAAAACTGAAAGAAAAAAACAAAACAAAAAAAAACAACAAGAAATGAAATGAGATTATTTGATTGTTGCATAAGTCTCTCAGTTAAAAATGTTATTTTAACTTAATCTAAATAACTAATCATTCTTGGTATGTCCTAAACTATTTTAATCACCTTAGCCCGAATCCTGGTACAGGATGGTGTTATAAAAGACAGATCATATCTGATGTGAGGAGGAATTTTCTCATATTTGGAGTCAGCTAGTGCTTCTTCCAATTCTTTCACTTTCATATCCTTGATAGCAGAATCAAACCACATATTCCAGCCATTTTCATAGTTTAACTGACTGTGAAAATCCTCCAAGGAATACATTTTACCTTGATCATCTGAGATTGAATAATATTAAAAAAAATACTTGAAATAGTTTTTAAGACAAGGGGACAATGAAATCACCCATTATAATTATATACCTTCATCAACATTTCCTGTTATGTAGAGATGCCCAAAATGGCACCAAAAATCAGCCTTAGGCATGTCAGCAACAGACCTGCCATCAATTGCTTGACGTATGTTTTGGAGCACTTCACTGATAAAGCCCTTTAAATCACCCATCTCTTTAACTGATGCCTAAAACAATCATAAAAAGAACACATTTCTTGTATTACACATGGTGATCAGATCTACTGATCGTTGTGATCTTGGACACTCTTTTTAAGTAGCAGTAGTATGAGATACTGTCACTGAAGGTGCTCAAACTGAGTAAAATATATTTGACTGACTTACTAAATACTGCTTAAAAGTGTGTCGAAGTTCACAAGCGATCGCTAGATCTGGTATCAAGCTACAAAATAAGTAAAACAAATGTACATTATACAGTTTTTTTTTAATATTTTTTAATGAAATTACCATTTGATCTTCTTCATCGACTCTTTCTATCTTAAAGTACTCTTTGTCTTGGTGCCATTCTTGCCTTGGGCATTCAACTGGAACAAGTCTGAATTCACATTTCCTGCCACTTCCATCAACAAAGTTATAAGTATCACAGGAAAACCGACTCTTTATCCTCTTTTTATAGATTCCGTAATACTAAAAAAGATTACAGTATAAAATATAATAATCATGTACAAAATATTTAGCTTTATTTACAATTCAGCTAAAATATATTGAGTTGTTTTCATAGATCCTTTAGAGGCTGTGCCAATGTACTTTGGATTGCTGAAAATTTTGATAATTATTGTAACTAGTCTCAAAAATATGCGATTTTCATTGTTTTCTTTTTACTAGGCCATCGAGAGCATATTTAAGGTGCATCACATTTGTCGCAATTTTGAATGATAATTAACTTGTCAATGAGAAAAGGCAGTTAAGAATTATTGGGTAAGTGAGTGGGAAGAAGTCCCTGCTGTAAAATTTCCCAAGAATCTTTGCGTAATCAACAGATCAGCAGTCAGACATGGAAAAAAAACCCAGACTTTTCGTGGAAACGAATTTATCAACAACCCAGCAATTAAAAGCCATTTCCCATAACCCAACCCTTAACCCAACCAATTACCGCAGAATTCTTCAATTCCTTTATTGCATGTTTAGTATCTTGAGGTCCACCACTGACATAGATTTTATTATTTTCAACTTCAATCTTGGTCCCAGTTTCCTTTTCAATCCTCCTCAGATTAGAATGTTTCTTTCCTATGACTAAACCCATGACCTCCATGGGGATATCAACTTCGGTTTTTCTTTGCATACCTACACAAGACAAAAACAACCTCTCAGCTATTGAGTGTTTGACTTTTGACAAGRTGTTACGGTACAAAAGAAAAACGTTTAAGGCATTTTAATATGCACTTATWCGCTGACTTCAAGCAGCTTTTTTGAAAACAAGATGAAGTATGATGTGCTTAATTACCTCTGGTTTAGAGTATGAAGGTTTTAAAAGTATTTAAACCAGTCAGCATAAACTCAACTGTCGTCTTCTAAACAGCAGAATAAAATTTCCCCTAAATTCGTTTCCACGAAAAGTCTGTTTTCCATGTCTGACCTGCTCATCTGTTGACGACGCAAAGATTCTTGGGAAATTTTCCGTCGCAAATTAATTATGCACATTTTATGTAACGTTTGTTTTCCGGTTTAGACCATGAAAACGAAGAAATAGAAAAAAGGCTTATAGTTCATATAATATATATTATTTCCATGCCATCATGCACTAGAATAGATTCTAATTGGAATGACACAGGAGCCCCACGCGTCTGGGGGATTCCCCTTCTGATCACCACAGGAGCCCCAACAGATTGTGCCATCAAGACCATTCGATCGACAGCATTATGAAGTACATCTAGATGTATACTCGAACAAATCATAAACGAAAAAAAACGAAAATATTAAAGTAAATATTGCGCAGCCCCTAAGGTTTGTTTTCCGGTTTAGACCATGAAAACTAATATAAAATAGAAAAAAGGTTTAGCGCATATTCAAGTTTAGGAATAGTACTAAAGAAAATGTGCGAAAATATGTGTGGAAATGAGAGAAATGCATATTTTTTTGTGTAGAAAATGAAGCAAGCGTTCTCTTATTTGCATGCGCAAACTTTGTAAAAAAAGACGTTTTATTTCACTCTGTGATGTACTGCTTTTGCTAATATTAATACATATACTATTTTCTAATATTTTAAATTGTGAGAAATTCGATAAAACTATTTACAATATATACAATTTATTAATTGGAGATAATTGCGAATTACTCTATGCTATCAATTTCTAACATTATCTTGGACATCTCTCAGGGCCAACAAAAATATCGGCAGCTTCCTGGTGATCTGTTCTGGCTCCCAGTCTCCACTCCTTAAAAGCTGATTACATTTATCGCTGTACAAATGTATATCGGTCTAAGAGGGAAGATAAACAGTTCAGTTTCATGTTTTGCCACGCCCACCTAATATCACACATGAGTATTAAACGCAAGATTAATGATCATTATCAATATGCGACATACTTCCCTAAAACCCATGGGCAGTTAATAAACGATTATGTAAACTTTTCAAAGATATTTCAAAAAACAATTTATAATTAAAATGCACGATACCTTTTTTTCTCTAGCTTTGGGCCCAGCATCCACGATGTCTTCTTCCTCAGATACCTTTTTTTCTCTAGCTTGGGGCCCAGCATCCATGTCGATCTCTTCTTCCTCAGATACGACAATAGTAAAACTATCTTCCTCTCTGCCGGTGTAGCTGTAGGATCGACGGTTACATTTCCGAATGTAGTGCAGAAAACAACCGTCAGGCATAAGCTTTTCATCGGGAAGAAGGATTTCTCCCTCAGCACTGAAGGTAACCCTGTCCAAGTACTTCTTTAAAGTTTCCTCGTGCTCTGTTTCTTCCATATCAGGAGTCGATGAAACTAAAGAAAATGAACCTAAGTTTGGGTATACAGCAAGTATGTGTTCAACTGATATGAAACAAGGAGATTCCCTATATTTAGTCAGACAGACTGACTGACCTGTGCGAATTGTTATGCGGACATCCATGTCATAAGCAGGAATTGCAATACTGACTTGAGACTGACTGAGAGGAGAGGAGAGGAGAAGAGAGAAAACGAAGGAGAGGAGAAAAAACGAAGGAGAGGAGAGAAAACGAAGGAGAGGAGAAAACGAAGGAGAGGAGAAAACGAAAGTGGATAGAAAATTGTTTCCTGGTGTCTTTAAAGTCAGTGACCTAAAAATCATGTGGCTTGATTCATATGTATTCAACTGATATGAAACAAGGAGATTTCCTATAATTAGTCAGACAGACAGACTGACCTGTGCGAATTGTTATGCGGACATCCATGTCATAAGCAGGAATTGCAATACTGACTTTTGCTCTGGTGACAAAGTGATGACAAAATACATATTTTGATGTGGAGGACAAAGCCTCTCCTTTGACATCAAGGAATTGATCCATAAAGTTAAGATTCGGTTTTCCATCTAAATCAAGAAAAAACTGAAAGAAACAAAATGAGAGGGAATGAGGGAATGAGAAGAGATGTAGCGGAGAGTGTTTACTTATGCAAAGCACTAAATTCTTTATGACTAACCTTCGCTCGAATTCTGGTACAGGATGGAGTTAAAAAAGACAGATCATATCTGACATGAGGTGGGATTTTCTCATATCTAGAGCCAGCAAGTGCTTCTTCCAATTCCTGTATTTTCATGTCCTTGATAGCAGAATCAAACACCATTTTCCAGCCATTTTCAATGTTAAATTGACTCTGAAAATCCTCCAAACCATACACTTCACCTTGATCATCTGATATTACATAACAATTTAAAACAAATTGAAATAGTTTTTAGACAACCAAAGGGGGGGTCATGAAAGTACCAATCATACCTTCATCAACATTTCCTGTGATGTAGAGATGTCCAAAATGACACCAGAAGTCAGCCTTAGGCATATTAGCAAGAGACCTACCATCTTGTATCTTTTGGAGAACTTTAGCAATAATGTTGCTCAAATCACCAATTTCTCCATCTGATACCTTGCAGAATTATCATAAATTGAATTACCAATATGCTTACTTTAGTTCATGGTCAGACATAAAAAACAAAACTAAACAAAACCAAGAAAACACTTCTTGTGTACTCTTGACCAAAGATTACCAACAACCATCTTCTGCTTTCCTGAGTTTAGCTACTGCTTGTCAGTTTAACATGCACTATATATATTAGCTGGAAATATTTTTTAAATATAGGTTTGTATACCATTTGATCTTCTTCATCATCTCTTTCTATCTTAAAGTACTCTTTATTTTGATGCCAGTCTTGCCTTGGACACTCAACTGGAACAAGCCTTAATTCACATTTCCTGCCACTTCCATCAACAAAATCATAGGTATCACAAGTAAACTGCTTCTTTATCCTATTATAGTAGATTCCTTCAAACTAAAACGAAATATACAATGTACAAAATCTTTAACTATAATGAAATACTAATACTATTAATTTTATTATGATTAATTAATCAATTTTTGGAAAAAAAAATGGTGAGAAAAAATCAATGTAACACATGGCAAACGCAATGCAACTATAATTACCGCAGCAGTCTTCAATTGTTTTATTGCATCTTTTGTCTTTTGAGGTCCACCACTGACATAAATTTTATTATTTTTCACTTCAATTTTGGTCTTAGTTTCCTTTTCAATTCTGTTCAGGTTAGAACGTCCCTTTCCTATGACTAAACCCATGACCTCCGCAGGGATATCAACTTCTTTTCCTCTTTGCATGCTTGAAATCTAATATATTACAAGAGAAAAAAAATTCTCAGTTATTGTGTTTGGTAGACCAGAGCTGTGTGTTCAGGCTCTCCTGACCTTACCCCAGCTATCATAAGTGAGCATGAGGTTGATGAAACCGCTTCTGTCAATGAGGGTGCATCGCTATCCACCATTTTGGACTGCGCACGAATGGACTACTTCTGCTGGCAATGTCTTGACACAGTCCAAAATGGTGGATAGTGATGCACCTTCATTGACAGAAGTGGTTTCATCAACCTCATGCTCACTTTCGATAGCTGGGGTAAGGTCAGGAGGGCCCAAACACGCAGCTCCTGGTCTCTCAAATGTGATTAGACTTAGCAATCTTACAGCCAGGACATTTAATAGTACTACCCATGATAAAAATACTGTTTAAATAAAATGACCTAGTACGAGTATGACAAACAATGCTACTGATATCTAGCACAGGCAAAACCTAACTATATATGGAAAACTGATCCGAACCGGAAATGGATCAGATGGCAATTAATCCCTAATTTGCAAGGGCCCAAACGGGGAAAATTACCACAGCAGTCTTCAATTGTTTTATTGCATTCTTTGTCTCTTGAGGTCCACCAATGACATAAATTTTATTACTTTTCACTTCAATTTCGGTCCCAGTTTCCTTTTCAATCCTCCTCAGATTAGAATGTTTCTTTCCTATGACTAAACCCATGACCTCCACAGGGATATCAACTTCTTTTCCTCTTTGCATACTTGAAATCTATTATAATAAATAAAAAACAACCTCATGTTATTGTGTGTTTGAAAGTTGACTTGGACTAATGGTGTTCATAAATACATTTGGATTATTTGTTTTATTAATTATCTATGAAATACCTTTATTTCTCTCTTTCAAAGAGTTTTCATTTTCACTAAAATAACATATTGTAAATAAAAAAAGGTACATTGTACAACAAAATTTGCTTTCATATATAATTATACGATATAGAGGATATTACATGGTCGATTTGGGATACGAATGCCTTATACTTAAGATAACCTTGTGTGCAATAATAGGCTAATATGTTCTTTTCACTAGCAAAAATAGAAGAAAAAAAAAGATTTCGAAAAGGGAAATACATTCATTGATGATTATATTTTAAATCGAATTCTCCTCAAAAGCGTTGTTGATACATCGACTGTTATTATCGAAAGTGAAACTATTAACACTCCTAACCTCCTTCAGTTTAAAGTTCACTTTGTTTTTAACTCGTCTTCAAAATTTCAAGGAACATTTCGAATATATTTTGAAAACGTATTTGTATTCTTTCCAATGAATCATTTCATTTTCTGCCGTAACAGTTACTTGAAATATGGCTCAATAGAAAAATGACACTGGCGTACATGTAGGTTTTTAATCAATTTAAGCTTAAGAGATTTTCACTTCATTCATAATAAGCTTCAAGCACTTTTAAAACCAAAACAAAAATACTGCTTGATCACTAMACTCAAGTTCTTACCTCTGGTAAAGAGAATGAAGGTTTGACCACTCTTTAAACCACAGCATAAACACGACTGTCGTCTTCTAAACAGCCGAATAAAAATTCCCCTTCATTTCCACGTAATTTCTGTATTTATTGTCAAGCACATGCACAAAGTTAAACTCCGCAAACACAAAACAACGCAGGCCTACATTTTAGAAAACATTCTAACGAACTAAAAGGCTAAATAATTAAGTCTTATAATCGCGGAAATCAAAGCTTAAAGAAAAATACGACATTATTTGGAGTAGTGACTGAAGTTATTTCCGTGACATCATGCACTAGAATCGATTTTATTTGGATTGACACAGGGACCCCACGCGTCTGGGGGATTCCCCTTGAGAACCACAGGAACCCCACTAAGACAAATTGTGCCATCAAGCCATCGACAGCATTTTGTACTTCTTGAACAAATCGTAAACGAAAAAAAAGAAATCGAAAATATTAAAGTGCATTTTTGAAGGTAAGGGATAATGAATGAATAAATGAAAATCAGGGTTCGTGCAAAATGTTCACTACAAAATTCCAACTTTTAAGCACAAAAATGCGATTTTCAAGGATTGATGCTTGCGAATGTTTCCATTGGCGATTTTCAAAAATAGCCACATTTCAATCCAAAAGGCAATATGTTAATTTCATCAGATTCAAGGAGTTTTCAGGGAGTTTTAGCGATTTTTCCCATTTTTAAGGGCTTTTCAAGCGCCCTTGAAAACCAGGAGTTTTCAAGGATTTCAAGGAGTAGCGCGAACCTTGGAAAAAATAGAAAAGGAGAGCAAGAATGCAATATCAGAGGAAATATCATTAAGACCAGATATTTTTTAAATGCTAAGCTTTATTGACGGAATTCATTTACTGAATTATGTTAAACTCTATACAATCAGAGTGAAAAATAGTAGCAGCTCTATAAGAGCTATTAAATTTGGCTAGTCTATAATTATCTACTTCTTTTGATTGCCTGTAAAGTTTCTATGCATCCCTTTTCTTGTATGTTAATAATTATAACCAGAGTAATATAAATATTTCAAGCTCAATAAATCGTATTACTATTAACATATTTTAAATTGATATTAAAAAAATGTTGCTTGATGGAATTGGATCGAAGGACTCTGGAGTTGTTGGGATCGCACTTATCGTAACAAACTTTTACAAGCCTAATTATTTTACGTTTACATAGATATAATAAATTTGTCTGGTAGTTTTTAGATTCTTTTCATTTTTCAGTGTTCCGCTCAGTTTATTGAGTTGTGTTCTTTTCGTTCTTTTTGGGAGGAGGTCGCGGAATGCCCATTCTCTTGAAGAACAGTTTGTAGATATCTGGCTCTTGAGCCTAAACAGTAAACAATAAAGCGTTTAGAGAGAATTCAAGTAGTAAACCACACATAACTAAAAAGATTTTATTATGCACAGGTGTTTAAATTGCTCTCATGTCATTTTTCATACTCCCAAATGGTAGTTTTGTCCACAGATGTGCGCTTCGTAAAGTCGAACTATCAAACATTTCTTTCAATGCAAAGGTGGGAGGGGAAGAAACAATTAAACTTTTCAACAAAGTTGCTGTTCTCGTCTTTCAGTGTTCCGATTAGCACTGATAAAAGCACTGCGTGTCGGCTCTACACTAAAAAGCCATGCCAAACGAGAGGCACTTAAATTTGTGCAAAGCAATTCTGCAAGTCAAATTGAGGTCTTTGCGGATTTCGTAGTTTTTGGCCGTTACAAGAATCCGAAGAAAGACCCTCCGATCAAGGAAGGGTTCTCATAAGGACAAAATGGAAGCCATTCACGGGCTGAAGCGTCTATTTGATAACCATAGTTCGGTTTTGAAACACAATTAAGTAAAATAATCTTCCTCACCTGTTGTTTACAAACGGCGCGGGCGATTCTTCCTGAGTTTCTCAATAGTTCCTGGTACGAGCGCAAGTAGAACACATTGCGGTCCTTGTATGTGTATCTCGATAGTGATCCTGGAATAACATAAATTGCAAAATATTAGTAGGATAATACTAATAGTTACTTGATAATCAAACCGATTGAATTCAGTCCGTGAAATACATATTGGTCTTATACATCTGAAGCTATACGAGTGAATTCAGGACATCTGTGAAATGTACTCTAAATTATTCTTCAAGCTTTTAAGACCGCGAAAAGATCTTATTATCCAGATGAATAATTCTACGCCAATATTAGAAGCGGATTATTGAGACTTTGGGTGACTAATAAACAGAGGAACCACATTATTTCTTCACTATTTTTCTTTCTTTCTCATTCTTTTTGCTTGGATTTCGGTTCCTAAGATCTCATTTCTACGCCACTATTTAGACTATCAAGAGGTTAATACGGACACTGGTCAAATAAATGAGGTTTTAATGGATTTGTTCTTACCTCGTCTGACGTTACCAATTCTAACGATAAAGATCTTGACGCCCTTCCTCTCCATCAATGTGCTGTAATGACGAATGCGGCCGAATGTATAGCTGTTTGGTTTGCCGTTCGTTATGACAACAAGCGTACGTTGGATGTAATCGGGCTCGTTACGGAAGAATGTTTGGTATGCMGTAGCAAGACCAATGTCAAGACGACCWCCACGACGGTTGGATAAATGGGCTGAGTTGATGGCACGTGATACCGTTGCCAGATTGTTGTACTGACGGAATCTAAGAGATTAAGAAATTATTAGTTTAGAACCGAATTAGCTCCGAAGAATAAACGAATGCATCCGGCAAAATTCGAGCAATCTCCGACTATTAAAAGAAAATGAATTTAGCGTGAACTATGTTAATGTGCACTGAAAAAACGAAGACATCACGAAACTGCATTCGCGTTGAACACGAGTAATCTCCGATTAACGAGTGAGCTCCGAATTCTTAAAAATATCTGCGCATGTACGTGAATTTGTTTTGATACAATGAACCAAAAAGTAAAAGTAACTTCTTCTCAAATGTTTCAAAGCCTCCGCTAATTCCGAGAGATTTCCGAAAATTATACGCATCCGAGAGCATGCCGAATACTTCCCGATGAGCCAACTTACCTCATGACAACTCGAGCAGAGTTCGAGTAGGTGACAAGACCGATATGAGTTTGATGTCTTGTAATTGTGAACGTGCTTGCAAGTCGTTGGGAGAACATTTTTGCAAGATGGAAGTTTCGTCCTCCAATGTTGTTTGATCCATCGATAAGGAAGCCGAGATCGAGTGTGACTGGACAGTGCCTGATAGGGATAGGTGCTAAAACAGAAAGTCGCAAAAAAAATTAATCAATTGACTGGGTATTAAATATAAAATCTATTTTGGCGGCAAACAAACTTAAGGTGATTCCGGACAAACAAAATTAAGGTGATTCCGGATCAAGAAAAATAAGGTGATTCCGTACATTTCCAATAAATTTCATTACTAATAAGTGATCACTATTATAATTATCCTCATCATTTCAGAAATAATCAATGATCATACCTGGTGGTCGTGTTGGTCGGATAGGTGGCCTAGGTGGTTTGATTTGAGCTAAAGATAAAAACGTAACAACTTAGTCACCCTTGAACAATGTACAAACGTGWAAACAACYRATTSACAGYGYGKTATCACATTTTWAARGKRCATATTCGARACTATGACCGAAGGGGATTTTGGGTATTTGGAAATTTGCATTAAATCTTCCTCTAAACATGTACATTCTTCGCTTTTCTTAGAGGAGGTCACGATTATTCAGTTCAGACAGTATTAACGAACTGATAAAGTACCAATTATGCCTTCCCATGCTGACTTTTATTATTAGCTTTGGATCTTTTTGAACCCGTACAGGTCTTTTTGTATTTCATATTGACCCAAATATGCATTGTTCTTGATATGTGCGCGGACTCAAAAYCAAAGAAAAGCCACATGTAATTTACCTGGTCGTCTTCCTCGGAGTCCAAATCTCAATGAGATATGTCCATGATATGTGATTGGATTGATTCTGATGAAGCGAGCTCGGATTGCTGGTCTTAGAACATGGACAACGACTGTGTTTCGATCGCTGTTTCCAGTGAAAACCTAAAGCAATCATAGGTTTATAGTTAGCTACATTTGAAACGCTTTCTGTGCTTTTCAAACAGGGGGTACAGAGTATATTCGTATACACTGGAAAAAATCGCGCGATTTAAAGGTTGTAAATTTGATGTAAATATGATGGAAGTGTCCAAAATTCTGTAAATTTGTTGTAAATCATTAACATCAAATTTACAGAATTTTGGACACTTATATCATATTTACATCAAATTTACAACCTTTAAAGCGCGCGATTTTTTCCAGTGATTTACGGGGACATTTGGCCATAAGTTGTATGGAAAACCCATGCATCAACAAAATGTTACATTTTTCGAGTTCAAGAAAAAAATGACCAACTCACCCATGGGCGTCCTCTATATCTGTAAACTGTGAAGCGTCGTCCATTGTTGCTATAGGATACGGTGAATGTCTTCACCCATTGGTTAGCATCTTGTCTACCTTGGATCAAAATCTTGGTAATGATTGTACGAGCGCCAACGTCAACTTGAATCCATTGTTTTCTATCGTTCTTTCTTGCTGACCAGCCACCGACTTGGCGTCCACGTCGCCTGATATTGAGACGMGCACGGTGTGGGCCGTGGTTGTTGTCCCATTTTGACGAAGCCTTGAAGTTACGGTTTGGAATGAAGTTATCTTCAATACCCATCGGTACGCTGTTGCGAGCTGTTGACGAAAAACGATTAGCAATGTAAAATAGATGATAATTGTCAATAACGATGTTAGAATATCGACTAAGACTTGACAAATAAGATTGGTACGGTTAATGGTACAATAAAGGAACGTTTTAGATAAAAATTAATTTGAGTGGAATAAGTCCGAATCCTATGAGCTAATTTTTCTTTACTTACATGCTCGAGCAGCGAAGAATTCAGCTCTCAGAGAGATGTGTGCGTGCCATGATACAGCGTAGATACGAACGAACTTGGCCGTGAATGGTGGATCAAAGACGTTTTCCATCAAAGAGTTGCGGTCGCGATTTCCGGGGAATACCTTAAGAATAAAGCATATTGGTGATGAATAACATTATTTTCTTAAGTGTACTAATGAAAAATGTGCGAACTTAAGAAAACAATTTTGGATGATGATTTAAGTGCCTACTTGCCCACATTTGTGTAAGTTAAAAATTGTTGACGTTTTTCTTTATTTACTTCTAATGCATGACGAATCGTCTATTGATGTATGTGCTAAATATTGCTATGATTTTTTTAAAACTATGTCGTGATAATGTACTTTAGATGTTCTAGTTTATTATAAGCGTAAAATGTAAACATTGAAGTCTATATTTGATAGATTTATTATTTAGTTAATCATAATTTATAATTATTGATTTTGTAAATACTTATCTCCGATTATATATTTAATTAATTATTTCAATTATGTATGCTTTGAATTGAATTTATTATATCAATAAAGGTTTTGAAAATAACTTGAATTTATCATTGCTTGYATAATGTTGAATTTTGACATTTTGTATCCTATGCATCAACTGGTATGGAAAGGATTAAAGTTATTATTATCATTGTTATTTTTTATAAGCGACTTTCATAGAATTCTTTCTTAATCTCAAAAAAAAAACTTACCTTGGGTCTTCCATTGACCATSACTGTAGCCCATCTCTTTCCATCTTGACTGTATCTRATGATAAACCTRCGCACCCATTGGTTAGCATCTTGACGACCCTGGGTAACAACCTTGTAGATTCTCTTGAACTGTCTGAATCTGTATTGAATCCATTGGTTTCTGTTGTTTCTACGAGCGCACCATGCTCCAACGTACCGTCCTCGTCTCTTTCGGCCAAGACGACCCAAAAATGCGGCATGATATCTGTTAAATTGGCTGGAGGCTGTGATGAATCTGTTTGGTAGACGTCCGCTGCCGATACCACAAGAGGTTGGGCGTGGTAGTCGAACTATAAAATAACACAAGTTGAGATTTTAATTTATCGATATGTTACGTAAACGTAATTGTACCGTGGAATATAATCAAAGTAAATAAAACATCAGTGTGTATTTCCTGTCAGAGAACCTTTTGCTGCTTATTTTACAAACGATCTGTTGTCGACAGTTGCTTTCTGATTGGCCCAAAATCGGAGATTARTTTTTGATCRTYATGTRAGAAAACCGCGCAAACGTTCTTGGACGCACGTAGTTYYTTAAGATYAACATTAATATCGTGGGCAAGCRTGAGTCTTTTCACRATGTACTTACCATATCTTTGTCCGAACAACTCTACTCTCATGGACATATGTCTATACCATTTTAGTGGGTAGATTCTGACAAAGCGGGCAGTAAATGAGCGTCGGAATTTATTAATCACTATGGAGTTTCGATCCCTGTTTCCTCTAAAGATCTGCAAATTAARCCACATTGYGTGTCAATTCACAATCATGGAAATACAAGTYTGGATGTTGACAATAGAATWCACWGGAAGCCCATTGAGGCTGGGCTATTGTGGACAGTCTTATCGGAACGTCAAGTTGTGCAGTCGGTAATTCATGATCTGTTTTATTGTATTACATGWGTAATTCATTTCTGAAAAACTATAGTGGAATAAGTTTCGAACATTTGGGGAGCCACAAAATGCAACTTTGTCTAATAGTAAGGAGTCCCCTCAATAGTACATTTTAGGACTTATGCACTTAGTTTCATGGGATTTTCGTGAGATAATTTTCACATTTTCCAGCATCAAGAAGAATGTTTGAAACATTTATTACATTTGAAAAACTTACAACAGTTCGTCTTCCAATTCTGTAAGGCACGAATCGTCGTCCTCTACTGCTATACTTTACGTAGTATCTAGTCACCCAYTGGTTGGCATCTTGTCTACCTTGCGTAGCGATGCCAGTCAAACGAGTGCGATATGAAAGATCGATTTGAAGCCATTGGCCGACTCTGTTGTATCTTGAAGACCATGCTCCAGTTCGGCCACGTCTGCGGACAAAGTTGAGCCTSGCGTTGGCAGCTCTATGTGCATAGTTCCATTGTGAAGATGCTGTCATACGTCTGTCTGTGATTCGTCCATCGGTAACACCAAGAGGCAAGAAGCGAATATCTAGAAGAATGGATTGAATTAAGGTTAATGTTCTCTGTATCAAACTCGTCCGCAGGCCGTTCGTATGAGTAGGAGTATAAGCCTGGGGACGAGGTTGCCCCATTATTAGAAATATACATATAGGATAAATAAATAAATGAAAAATGAATAAATAAATAAATAAATAAATAAACGAATAAAAAAATAAATGAATTAATGTACAAAAATGAAGAAACAAACAAATTATTAAATGAATGAATGAACAAAAAAATATATGAATAAATAAATAAATGAATAAATGAAAAAAAAAGAAAATGAATAATTGAGCGTATAACCATACACTGTGCACCTATATTACGCAACACTCCTTGAGGTTAACAACAGTAATTACATATGACCTAAGCAATGTTGAGTTACGTACTTGCGTTTCGTCCATACAATTCAAGTCTCATTGAGATGTGACTGCGCCATGCGTATGGGTGAATACGAATGTGGGTTGCTATAATTGCTGGGCGGAAGTTGTTTCGTTTGACGGTGTTTCGGTTATTGTTACCACGGAAAATCTGAAAAAAAGAAACAGGTTTAATCATTATGATGAAATTATAATATAAACATTATGAGGACGCTATGGAACATTAATAGGCGAAGCAGGAAATTCAATACTGTTGCTCATAAAACTTTTATCRTGTATTAATCGTATTAAGTGTATTAATAATACAAAGTAAATAGCTGCCAATTCTATGGTTTACATTTGCAATTTTTGAATCACGCAATGTAGAATTAACATAAGCTCTAGAATCTGACATTGGTTTTTACAAAATTGAATTTTGTTCGGCCAAGTATCTAAATTACACTTTATTTTTATAACTTTCAATGTTTTATCTTTATTTTGTAAACTGCATGGTACGTATAAATATATTGTTGTTGTTGTCAACTTTTGCTTACCACTCTTCGTCCTCGTTGTCTGTAGAACTGGAAGTGGACGCCATCCAAACTGTAAGACACGGTGTATCTTGTCACCCATTGGTTGGCATCTTGTCTACCTTGAGTTGCGATTGCAACGATCTTCTTTGGTCTTCTTAATTTAATCTAGGAAAAAGGTTCAAGTATCTTTATCAGTTCACACACCTTTAGAACAAGATTRAAATAATTTGTGTCGACCTGTATGCATACAGGACTTTAAAACTTAGTGGTGTTCACGACCGTTAATATCCGGGGACMAGTGACTAATCATGGAAACATCTAGAAATCACTACRAAGATCACRTGTGGCAGTGYCCGAAAGTTTTGGAAGATGTATTGKTACGTTATTTACGATAAAGTKCTCTTGCYAGACATCGAAGTTTACTATAMAGAGGSTGGYTTTTACGTCCCCAGTRCCGTGTTCGGCGAACGTSACGTTTTTGAAARTCGTTAACATTCTTATTTAAAAGTTTGCTGAAAAAAGACAGAAGAGACAACAGCATGGAGACAATAAACAATAGAACCAGCCGTCATACCTGGATAAATTGGTTTCTGTTATTATATCTGGCAGACCAGGCACCAGTATATCGTCCACGTCTCTTGGTGTGGAGTCTTGCYCTGTAAGCAATGTGGTATTTATTCCAGTTGGACGAAGCTGTGATCTGGTTATTGCGGATACGTCTACTCTGCATTCCAAGTGCATTACCCGTTGGCTTGGGTGGAATTGGTTTGATTGGTTTCGTAGCTTTAACAAATAAAARAAAAGTTTAATTATTAAAGTTGAGATGGATAACAAAAATCGAAGTATGAAAAATAAGCAGAATAAAACAAATAATTGCCCTATTTCATTATGACGTCACATCAAAACATTCTATTGTTTTAGCGCTAGTGATTATAGTCGCCAGATGGGATCCGAGTGACTGCATTTCAAATGATATGTAAATCAAAACATGATCAATTTTAGGAGAAGAAAAAAAGGGTCCAAGTTTAATAATATAATAATAATAGTTTATTGCCACTTCTTGCAGTTCAAAAAACTGAATAAACAACGAAATGCACGGCATAAAAAGATTAAAAAAAGCTTTCCAATGAATTTGAGCATTATTTTCCGATGTAAGCATACTGTGACGTCATAACGAAATAGGTCCATTTAAAGATAATTTTGTGTCCTTAAAAACGCGACCGTGATTGGCAATGCATTGTGGGATCCATTTTTTGGAGAAAACCAAAGAGATTCGCCATATTTTTCCCAAATGTATCCCACAATGCATTTCGTATACGGAATATGAMGTAAAAGCTTAAGAGGTCTATACTATTGAGTTCAACGTTTCGAGATACGATTTACGAAACTTTCGATTTAGCTTACTTCGTCTTCCTCTGAATCCAACTCTCATTGAGATATGTGCATGCCAGGTCTTTGGGTGAATTCTAATAAAGCGGCAATTGATGTATGGCCTGAGATTTCGGACAACAATTGTATTTCTGTTAGAGTTCGCTGCGAAGACCTACAAAAAAAAGATATGTCATTTGTGTTCCTATTTTAAAGCGAATAACCGTTGCTTTATGTGAAAACAGATTCTCTTACGCAAAGACTTTACCAAACACAAAAGAATAACGGGAAAATGTTGTTATTACAATGGYCATAAGGATTGAGACTAATCCTGCATTCCCAAATGACTAAGGTTTAAGCCTTTTGGGAATACAGGGTAAGTCTCAATCCAGGGTAAATGAAAATACTCAGAACCATTGTAAGCAAATAGCCGACTTGCGAATTACGCATCAATAGTCACATACAAAGGAATCAAGACGAGGCGCCGTGCTAAAGACAATAGATTTTTCACAAAAAAGCACGGCGCCTCGTCTTGATTCCTTTGTATGTGACTATTGATGCGAAATTCGCAAGTCGGCTATTAAAACATTTTCTCGTCGTTTCTTTTGTTTCGGTAAGGTCTTTGCGCAAGAGAATCTGTAGTCAAATAAACCAGCGGTTATATCACTTTGGCATTGATTTTAGATACTGACACAATAACGATATAACATGTCAAGAGTATACTCCTGCTCACCCTGACGCGTCCTCGGTATCTGTAATATCTAAAGCGTCTTCCATTGTTGCTATAGGATACGATGTACGTCTTCACCCATTGGTTAGCGTCTTGTCTACCTTGGGTCAGTATCTGAGTGATAGTGGTTCGTTTGCCAAGATCAAATTGAAGCCATTGGGCTTTGTTATTTTTCTTTGCAGACCAGGCTCCTCTCTTACTTCCTTGCTTATTAGTGTTTAGACGTCCTCTTGATGGTCCGTGGTTRCGGTCCCAGCTAGATGAAGCTTTGATAGCGTTGTTTTTAATCTTACCATCTTCAATTCCGAGTGGGATCTTATAGATTGCTGCAAAGAAATAGATATAGATACATCAATGAATTGCACAGCTTACTTTGAACAAACATGTATGATTATAGCAAACTTACAAACTCTTCTGGCATAGAATTCAGCTCTAAGAGAGATGTGTCGGTGCCAATTCACTGGGTAGATACGGACAACTCTGGCGATGAACGCTGGTCGGAAATAGTTTCCTCTCAGCGTATTTCTGTCGCGGTTTCCATTAAATATCGCAACACGGCCGTGTATCTTGTAGTARGACCAGTATTTCTTATCTTGGCTGTATCCGATTTTGTATCTTGTCACCCATTGGTTGGCATCTCGACGTCCCTGAGTGACAACCTTGTAGACTCTCATGTAATGTTTAAAGTGGAACTGAATCCATTGTCTTCTGTTGTTTACACGGGAAGCCCATCCTCCGATGTAGCGTCCTTGCCTCTTTGTGTGTAGACGAGCTCGCCATGGAGCGTGATATTTGTTCCATTGCGATGAYGCTGTGATGTATTTCTTGGGTAGACGTCCAATACAAATGACAATTGGTGGTCTTGGTCGACCTGAAAGAAAAGAAGCACTAAACGTTATCATCTCGCTTTAAAAGTGTTTGAAGTAAATSGAAACAAGGTAGAAGTAGCTGGAAATAATGTAGAAGTAACTGGAAATAAGGTAGAATGAACTGGAAATAAGGTAGAATACAAGGTAGGAGTGCTTYCTCTGGTTTCAAGTTACCGCACGTGGTACAAATCACAATCAGGGATTGGCTGGGTACCTCATGAATAATTAATGAGTATGAGAAAGCATCTTAAAAGAACCCTTACCAATTCGTTTTCCGTAAAGTTCCAATCTCAATGACATATGACGATACCATGCTTGAGGATAAACGCGCACATACTTGGCTTTGAATGGTCGAACGAATTTGTGGTAGACAATACCATTTCTGTTTCTGTTACCACGCAAGTACTGAACAAAAAGAAAAACAACAACCAAAATTTAATTGACAAGTTCAAAAGTTTARTTTAACATCATTTAGGAGCAATAATTTAAGAATATAAAAATGTACTCACGTAGATACGACGACCATGTCCATAATATCGGAAATGTCTTCCATTTTGGCTGTACATGACGGCATACCTTGTCACCCATTGGTTGGCATCTTGTCGACCTTGAGTAGCGATTCCAGTCACAAGAGCATGCTGTCCAAAGGAAACTTGAATCCATTGTCCTCGTTTGTTATGTCTTGAAGACCATCCACCAGTTCTGCGTCCCCTGCGCCTGAAGTTGAGTCTGGCGTTGGAAGCCCTGTGGTTGTTGTCCCATACTGAGGATGCAGTGATGTATCTGTCTGGAATACGGCGTGATTGCATTCCAAGTGGCCTTTTGTTGTTAGTGACTAGAGAGAATAACAAGAGATTAGAAATTCCATTGCACAAGAGTGTAACTGAAACACGTTGATGGGAATACTTGAAGCTTTGATTATATTCTAAGTTAGTCAGATGAAGAAAGAGGTATTCTGAACTGTATTGTGTTCGACAAAGCCTTACTAGCATTTCGTCCATACAATTCCAGTCGCATAGAGATGTGTCCTCTCCAGCTAAATGGATGGATACGGATGGCTCTTGCTCGAATATGCATACGGTGCAGAACCACACTGTTGCGATTCCTATTTCCTCTGAAATACTACAAAAAAAAGTTTAGGTTAGTAAACCATTTTTAGTAGGGAAAACAGATGACCATATTAACTTACTCTTGTTCTTCCTCGCCATCTCAATGGAGTAAAACGAACACCATCATGGCTAAAGCTGATCCAGTAGCGAGTTACCCACTGATCWGCGTTCTGACGACCTTGAGTAGCAACGGCTAAGATGACTTTCATACGGCGGAATTTAACCTAAGATTAAAGAAATGCTTGATAAAATATATTCATCGATGAGAATTATYTGCTTCATTCTGATGAAGTCAGGTACAAACCTGTATCCATTGTTTTCTGTTGTTGTGTCTGGAAGACCATCCACCTTGCAAACGTCCACGTGCTTTGAAGTGAAGTCTGGCCAGGTAGGCGTAATGGTTTCTGTCCCAGTTAGATGAAGCTGAGATTTGGTTGTTGCGAATACGTCGATTCTGCATTCCAAGTGGGCGCAGTGGTCGTCCAATGATTGGTCTGACAACTATAATACAATTAAATTAAACTACACGTGAATGGAAAGTTTAATTCGCCGAGAAAATAAAAATCTGAGGGTATTTTGCTGCTGCTTTTAAAGCGGGATTCCACTCTAGTTACGCCAGTTGGTTCCATTATCTTTCCAAAAATTACTTAGATCTAAGATGATGGAATCAACTGGCGTAACTATACAGATGATTCAAGGACATTTTTTTAATTAGCTTTGCCCTATTTTGGTCTGGGACACCGCAACAGCTTGAGCCAATTACTGCGGACCCTCTACTATCACATTCACTACCTCTACATTACACAACACTCCTCACATGTTGATTTTTGYTGAGGGAGGGAAAACCGGAGGACCCAGAGAAAAACCCTCGTGGAAAAGGAGATAACAACACATCAAACAAACTCAAACTCAAACTCCAACATCATTTCAATTTGATGTAAATGATTTAAGTAATATTTACATGATTTTGGACATTTACATTATAAATTACATCTAATTTACAAGTTTACGATTTTTCCCAAATGTCATGAAAAATAATGGGAGTGATCAATAATAACGTAGAATTACTTTGTTATCCAGGATAAATCGTCATGTACATAGTTCATGAAGAGAATAATGTCAAAAATGTTACCTCGTCTTCCTCTCAGTCCGAATCTCAATGAAATATGTCCATGCCAGGCTACTGGGAGAAGTCTAATGACACGAGCTCGGATGCGTCGCCTTAATGTCTGAATTACGATTGTATGTCTGTTGGAGTTTCCTCGGAACACCTTAGAATGAACATCAAAGARAATAAATAASAATTAATCACACATCGTGTATTAATCCAAAATACTAAAGCAACGTTGACATATGCATGCTTGTATATCTGCAACAAAATCAACAACTAACCCTGACCCAATCGGCAAYAACACTAAAYGAAAAGATAGAATATAATRTTGCCAAAAGGACAGGAAGGCTGGCTCTCCWTTTGAAAAAATATGAAAATATAATTTCTAATTTAAGACATAAGGATAGCCATCCAAAAAGTTAAAAGAAATCTGTTTTTTTTTACTCTGTGCAAATATATAAAATGTAGAWATGATAGSTGCAGCATCGTTTTATATTTCCTTTCTTGTATGTAGTTGTGATTAATTTTTTCTAGTGTTCTATATGTGAAAAGAAATGATTGCAAAAAAATTCTCTTGTTTTTTTTCAATAAAAATGTTAAAAAAAACCTCACCTTGACGTGTCCTCTTTCTCTGTAAACTCTGAAGCGTCTTCCATGGATGCTATAAGCTACCTTGTACTTCGTTACCCATTGATTAGCRTCTTGTCTACCTTGAGTCAATATTTGAGTGACAGTTTTTCGTTTTCCAAGATCAACTTGAATCCATTGACGTCCATTATTGCGCTTGGCAGACCATGCTCCTGTCTTACGTCCTTGTCTTATAGTATTCAGRCGCGCTCTTGATGGCCCGTGGTTGCGGTCCCAGCTAGATGAAGCTCTGAAGGCATTGTTGGGTAGKGTCTTATCCTCAATTCCGAGMGGTATTTTGTTACGAGCTRGTGGAAGAATTRAAATATATTTTAAGACAATATTCGGGCTTAGCACATCGATCATTGTAATGGACAATGGATGTCTATTGGTACGACATTAAGTTAAATCATAGAATGCTACTACTTTTATCTCTATTTWATTTCAAAGAACTACTTTTCTGCGAACTATTTCTTTTTAAAGTAATTAAAATTAAAATTAATTTAAAGTAATTAAAATTACTTGACTTTATTCTACTGCATGTTAGGATGAAAGAAAACATCCCATTTACGTCAAAATACATCATCGGTAATTAAAGATTGTAAATTTGATGTAAATATGGTGTAAGTGTCCAAAATGATGTAAATCTTTTAAATCATTTACATCAAATTTAYATCATTTTGGACATTTAAATCATATTTACATCAAATTTATAACCTTTTCAGCAGTGTTCTCCAGCGTAAAACGTGTAATACGCTTAACAACAAACCTAATGTAGAATACAGAAGTACTTACAAACTCTCCTGACGTAGAATTCCGCTCTGAGGGAGATATGTCCATACCAGGCCCAAGGATGGATACGGACAAACGAAGCTATGAAAGTTGGTCGGAAATAATTTCCTCTCAGCGTATTTCTGTCTCGGTTTCCAGGGAATATCACCACACGGCCGTGTTTCTTGTATTGAACCCAGTGTCGTCCATCTTGACTGTAGCTGATCTTGTACTTGGTAACCCATTGGTTGGCATCTTGACGTCCCTGAGTGACAACCTTGATGACCCTCTTGGGTCCTCTCAGGGCGTACTGAATCCATTGCCTTCTGTTGTTTGCACGGGAACTCCATGAACCAACGTAATGTCCGCGTCTCTTTCTATGCAAACGYGCCAACCATGCGGCGTGCCAYTTGTTCCATATACTGGATGCGATGATGTATTTGTTKGGCAGACGTCCAACGACTGGTTTGATTGGTGGTTTTGGTCGACCTGAAGAAAGAAAAAAATAGTTATGGACAGTGTACGACTAGTTTCAATGCTTCGTGCTTGATAGCTTGATAGTCCTACAGTAGAAGACKTATTTTATGTGGAATTTTGTATTCTGAACTCTGTACAGCCTTTCATTTATCTTATGAATAACAATAAAAATAAAAATCACGATTCAAGGGCACGTGCCTTCGCTTTCATAGGAATAACTATATGTTTCTCTTTCGAAATTGTGCAAAGTAAAACAACTTACCGATTCTTCGCCCATAAAGCTCCATTCTMAACGACATATGGCTACGCCAGGCTATTGGATAGACACGGACATATCGGGCTAAGAATGCTCTAGGGAATCGGTTATAAACAACGCTGTTTCTGTTACTGTTTCCACGGAAGGACTATACCGAAGGAAGAAGGAAAAAATTACGAAAGRTCAGTGCAAAACATTTCTTTATCAGTAGGTATACAACACAATTTATTCACAACAAAATAACCTTTGCACAAATGCGTCTAAATTAAAGATATTTTATTCAAATTTAGAAGAAAATACCAAATTTAAACCATAATGAACTTAATAAACTCACGATTATACGTCGACCATGCGCTAACCAACGGAATCTTCTACCATCTCTGCTATACTTTACGTAGTATCTTGTCACCCATTGATTTGCATCTTGTCTACCTTGAGTAGCAATTCCAGTAACACGTACAAGACGTCGGAACTTCACTTGGATCCATTGTCCTCGTTTGTTGTGTCTTGAAGACCATGCACCAGTTCTACGTCCTCTGCGCTTGAAGTACAACCTGGCATTAGCTGGCCCGTGATTGCCGTCCCATTGCGAAGATGCAGAGATGTGTCTGTTTGGTATTCGGCCAGATTGCATACCAAGTGGAGTTTTTCTGTGAGTGACTGAGATGCAAACAACAATCAATTATTTGTTTGAACTAAAGACATATTCATTGTACATTTSTATACAATAGCCCCCTTGTAGTTTATGGAAATGMAGCTCCAACTGGAAGGCAAAACAATGGATTCTAGTTACCAAAAGATCAAAAACCTTTTGTTTTGTCCTCCAGATGAAACAGCTTTAGAGAATAAGAATACAACGACTAAAAAAGCTAAAACGAAATTCAGCCTAAAGTTGCAAGTTCGTCAGCAATTAAACARTGGATTAGCTTACCAGCATTTCGTCCATACAATTCCAGTCGCATAGAGATGTGTCCTCTCCAGGCAGCTGGRTGGATACGGATGGCTCTTGCTCGAATTGACATACGGTGCAGAACCACACCGTTGCGATTCTTATTTCCTCKGAAATACTACAAAAGGTTTGGTAAGTTGGTTAGTAAACATTTTTTTAGTAATGAAAACGTAAGCCCCAATAATAGTGAGAACTTACTCTTAATCTTCCTCGCCATCGGAATGGAACGAAATGAACTCCATTGTGACTGTAGCTGATCCARTAGCGAGTTACCCACTGATTAGCGTTCTGACGACCTTGAGTAGCAACGGCTGTGATGACTTTCATACGACGGAATGTAACCTATGGTCAAAGAAATGACTGCTCAATAAAATAYATTCATCGATGAGAAWTATTTGCCTCTTCTGAYGACGTCATGTATACCTGKATCCATTGATGTCTGTTGTTGTGTCTGGAAGACCATCCACCTTGCAAACGTCCACGTGCTTTGAAGTGAAGTCTGGCCAGGTAGGCGWAATGGTTTYTGTCCCAGTTAGATGAGGCTCKGATCTGGTTATTGCGAATACGTCCACTCTGCATTCCAAGTGGGCGAAGAGGTCGGCCAATGATCGGTCTGACAACTGTTTCCAAAGAAAATACATGCAAAAATTGTCATATCAATTGATGATTTGTAAATTGATGTAGATAAGGCTGTAGGAGCTTATAGWAATCAGGTGGCTCTTACAGTAATCAGGTGAATTGCTATTTACCTCGTCTTCCYCTGAGTTCAAATCTCATGGAGATATGTCCAACCCAGCGTTTTGGATGAATTCTGATAAAACGAGCYCGGATAACTGGTCTTAATTTCTGTACAACAATAGTGTTCCTGTCGGAGTTTCCTCGTAACACCTAGWAAAGACAAGAAAGTGAATAATTAAATGATACAAAAATGGGCTCATATCTTAATGACTCGTTCCCAGTCGTCTCTTGCGCCTTTTTTATTGCCTCGATAAGCTTTCTCATTCCCTTTATGCTTTTCGCGCGCGAGATAGGAAAGAACGACTGGTGACGAGTTAGCATACCTAATGTGACACTATAACTATGTCTGACAATAAAAGTTGATGATGAAAAAGTGTAGTCAAAAAGTTTACCACAGTGCGYCCTCGGCGTCTGTAAGGTAGGAATCGTCTTCCATTGTTGCTATAGGATACGGTGTACTTCGTCACCCATTGGTTGGCATCCTGACGACCTTGGGTTAGTATGCGAGTGATCAATGTTTTTCTACCGAGGTACACTTGAATCCATTGTTTTYTGTTGTTGCGCTTGGCAGACCATGCTCCTGTCTTACGTCCTTGTCTTATAGTATTCAAACGTGCTCTCGATGGACCGTGGTTTCGGTCCCAGCTCGATGAGGCTCTGAATGCACTGTAWGGAATCTTTCCATCCTCGATTCCCACTGGAATATTAAAGATGGCTGAAAAACAAAATGAATTTATTATCGAATGGTAATTGATAGAACAAATCTTTATGTATTGCGCCTTGCAAACAACAATAATACACAAAGAGAAGCAAGATACTTACAAGCTCTCCTAACGTAGAATTCTGCTCTGAGAGCGATGTGTCGRTACCAAGAGACTGGGTAGATACGKACATATCGGGCAATAATCGGMAGTCGGAAATAGTTTCCTTTGACAGTGTTWCGGTCACGRTTTCCAATRAAAGTAACRACACGACTGTTTTTCTTGTAATATACAAAGTGTCTTCCATTTTGACTGTATCTGATTTGGTATCTGGTCACCCATTGGTTGGCATCTTGACGTCCCTGAGTGGCAACCTTGTAGACTACATAGCTTCGTTTGAGGTCGTATTGAATCCATTGCCTTCGGTTATTTCTACGAGAAGCCCATGCTCCAATGTATCGACCRCGTCTCTTTCTRTACAGACGTCCCAGCCATGCGGCGTGGTATTTGTTCCATTGACTGGATGCGGTGATGTATCTGTTGGGTAGACGTCCACTGGCGATACCACTAGGTCGAATAGGTGGTTTTGGTCGACCTGAAGACAAATGGCACTCTTATATAAATATCCAAATAGAGAAAAAATACCACTGTTTCGACACTGCTCGAGATGAGAAGAAGGAGGCAGAGAAGGAAGGAGGTTCAGAGGTGGAAGGAGGTTTAGAAGGAGGAGGAGGTTAAGGGGGGAAGGAGGTTAAGGGGGAAGGAGGTTAAGGGGGAAGGAGGTTAAGGGGGGAAGGAGGTTAAGGGAGGAAGGAGTTTCAGAGGGAGGAGGGGTTTCAGAGGGGGAAGGGGGTTTAGGGGAGGAGGAGGTGCACAAGGCAAGAACAATATAATAAAAATAATCAATCAAACTTACCAAGTCGTCGTCCGTAAAGTTCAAATCTCAAAGAYATATGTCCATGCCATTTTAGAGGATTGATACGAACATATCTTGCAAGGAAAGGTCGGTTGAATCTATTGTAGACAACGGTGTTCCTGTCTTTGTTACCGCGTAGGTACTGTTTATGGTAAAAGATAAAAATATGCATGTTAATAAGACGATACCAAAAAGAAATATAAAATTGAGGTAGGAAAGAGTTTTGATCTGGAGTTTTTTATGATGTATTGATGTTGCTGATATGGTTATGGTTATGAAGTAATAAAGACTCAAAATCTCCATATCTAAACGAAGCGTTAAAATCTCAAGCGAGATTAATTGATATCAATATAATCACCCCATATGTCAGAAACATATATGGATATACTTACGTAGATTCGACGGCCGATTCCATAATGCCAGAATCGTCTTCCATCCTTGCTGTATGATACGGAGTATTTTGTTACCCATTGGTTTGCATCTTGTCGACCTTGTGTAGCAATACCGGTCACGCGCGCAAGACATCCAATATTCACTTGAATCCATTGTCCTCGTCTGTTATGTCTTGAAGACCATCCACCAGTTCTGCGTCCCCTGCGCCTGAAATTGAGTCTGGCGTTGGAAGCCCTGTGGTTGATATCCCACTGTGAAGATGCACGGAAAGCTCCGTCTGGTATCTTGCGAGATTCAAGTCCAAGTGGGTACCGCTTGTGCGAAACTGAAAAGAGTGGACTAGTCAGAAAAACCYTCTCTTCAACATCTTATTAATTCGGTTAATTTTTAGACCTAACCAAATTGCTTTCGCTATTAATGTTACAGATTGAATAAATAAAATTGGTCGCAAAACCGAATGCGATAAGTAGAGTCTACTAACAAATTATAGATGATAAACACTAATAAACTATTAGAAAACAAGAAAAATATATAGATATGGAACACCAGCATCCAATGCAATCGTGTTTTAAAGTTTTCATACATTGAAAATGAAGTGACTTCGCAACCGTTTTCACTCGTTGGTTTTAAGGTCGAATTTTACAATATCTGCATTTATAGATCAYAAAGGGATAATAAAGTACGTTTGTACTTATATACGTTGAACTTTTATTTTCAAACATAGACAAAGCTCGAAAGGAATGCCGGTAGACCATGACCCTTCAAGRTTACTTTATATTTCTGTATTTACCAGCATTTCTTCCATACAATTCAAATCTCATTGAGATGTGACTTCTCCAGCGTGTTGGATGGATACGGATAGCYCTTGCTACGATKGCMGGACGAAGGCGGCGTAACACTACACTGTTTCGGTTTCTGTTTGCAGAGAAGTTCTAAAAGGTAGACAAGAATATTCAATATATTACCAACAAATCCAAATCTGCACTGGATACAACTATTGAAAAAACGTCGAATACTGAATAAGTATATTGTATTCCAAGACCGTTAGCTGCGCTACAAAATTGCAATTCTAAATTGAAATGCTTTCCATTGACGTTCTYGACTATATGAAGCTGGTACAGTCACTCTGAAACCACKAAAACTCCWCTCGAATGGTKGAAGGGCGGTCAACAATGRATTCGGTCTTGGAATACACTATCTTCAGTATTCAATCTCTTCTGAAATGGCTGTATTCTGGAAATTRATTCTTAGTTAAGAAAACGGCTTAAAAACACTTACCACAGTTCTTCCTCGTCGCTTGTATGGGATGAAWCGGAACCCTCTCATACTGTAGCTGATTTGGTAGCTCGTTACCCATTGGTTGGCATTCTGACGACCTTGWGTGGCAATAGCAGTAACYAATTTTGGTCGACGGAAAGTRACCTGACGTCAAACAAAAAAGAGAGATGACTTGAGATAAAATAGATGAGAGATAACTAGACTATTCGTATAACTTGGATTTAATTAAGATATTCTTCGGTAAAAATACATACTAGATACTACATACGGACTGTATCTTTGAGTGCTGAAAAGGTCTCCGACGAACAGTAAGCAGAAACAAATGAAGGCAAACTATATTTTTGGAAAACTTTAATTTACATCCAATATAGGGCGAATGTGAGTGAAAATAACAAAGTGAGAATATACTTCATGCCATTCACAAAAAGAAATTACGATTTCCCTTGTGTTCCTCTCAAGAATGTCAATACACAGCATGGAGTACTAGACGCTGATCCCAAAAACAGAAGATAAGAACCACTATCACAAATCAGAACAATTCTTAAACTCAGTATTATCAAATTCATTAATAATTCATAAGGTAAACACAAGTTTTTTTTCGAAGTACGCTTTACCTTATGTTGGAACTTGATAAGCAATATAAAATATTCGCGTCCGACCTTTATGGGCTATAAAACTGCTCGCTTGCAGCTCGCAGTTTTAAATGCCCATAAGGATCTCCCGCTCATATTTTATATATTACATAACAATTTGACATAAAAATAGACATCACAAACCTGGATCCATTGGTTTCTGTTGTTGTGTCTTGAAGACCAGGCACCTTGCCAACGTCCATGTGCTCTCTTGTGTAGTCTGGCCCTGTGGGGACCATGGTAGCGGTCCCAGCTCGATGAGGCTCGGATCTGGTTATTGCGAATACGTCCACTCTGCATTCCAAGTGCACGAACTGGTTTCGGTGGCCGTGGGGTAACTATTTAATTCAATCATAATCAAGTTACATAAAATAATTTATTTCTCCTGAGTCAGTAGTGAAAAGAGAATAAAAAAACGACAACAACAAAAAGATGCATATGTTGAAATGCATATAGATCAGGGTTTTTACAGGATTATGGTCCTCCAGCATCCATTTCGAGATTTCTTTATGTTTGAAAATATAAATACATCGAAATAGAGGCTCTAAAACTTACACTTTAATATCCGTTTATGTTGTATGAGGAGAGTCAAGGAGAATTATTGTAAAAATCGAAACGGATTGCAAAAGAATATTTGAAATCACCTCATTTTCCATATATGAAAAATCTAACACGACCGAATTGAATGATGGTGGATCATGATCCTTTAAAGGGCCACAACTACTTATCCTTGTATAGCTTCTGTTACCTCTCCTTCCTCTGAGTGCAAATCTCATTGAGATATGTCCATGCCAGGTTCTTGGGTAAATTCTGATGAAACGAGCTCGTATTGGACGTGTGAATGTCTGGACCATGATTGTATTCCTGTCGGAGTTTCCACGTAATACCTATCATACCAAAAAAGGAATATGAATTGTTTGGCAATTTTNGCATGTTGAAATGCGTATAAATCCCGGGTTTTTACAGGATTATGGTCATCCAGCATCCATTTCGAGATTTCTTTATGTTTGAAAATATAAATACATCAAAATAGAAGCTCTAAATCTTACACTTTACATGTAATATCCGTTTATGCTGTATGAGGAGAACCAAGGAGAATTATTGTAAAAATCGAAACGGATTGCAAAAGAATATTTGAAATCACCTCATTTTCCATATATGAAAAATCTAATACGACCGAATTGAATGCTGGTGGATCATGATCCTTTAAAGGACCACAACTACTTATCCTAGTATAGCTTTTGTTACCTCTCCTTCCTCTGAGTGCAAATCTCATTGAGATATGTCCATGCCAGGTTCTTGGGTAAATTCTGATGAAACGAGCTCGTATTGGACGTGTGAATGTCTGGACCATGATTGTATTCCTGTCKGAGTTTCCACGTAATACCTATCATACCAAAAAAGGAATATGAATTGTTTGGCAATTTTGTAAGGCAAAAAAACTCAAGATTTTGACGAAAAGAAATAAGCTCATGCCTTATTGGCGTAGAACCTTATTTTCATTTTTTTAATTGTTCTACACTCTCCGAAGAAAATGGAAAACAATAATACGAAGACGCTAAGAAAGAGCAGCATCGATTCAAAACAAACTTCAGTGCTTATAATAACTTCAAGAAAGGTTGTACTTTGAATTAGTCAAGCACTAAGAAAAGCTACTATTTTGAGGCACACTAAGGCAAGCTAGTTCATATACGCTACTGACCTTCACGCGTCTTCTCACTCTGTAATATCTAAAGCGTCTTCCATTGTTGCTATAGGATACGATGTACGTCTTCACCCATTGGTTAGCGTCTTGTCTACCTTGGGTCAATATTTGAGTGACAGTRGTTCGTTTTCCAAGATCAATCTGAATCCATTGTTTTYTGTTGTTGCGCTTGGCAGACCATGCTCCAGTCTTACGTCCTTGTCTTATAGTATTCAGACGCGCTCTTGATGGCCCGTGGTTGCGGTCCCAGCTCGATGAAGCTCTRAAAGCACTGTAAGGGTATCTACCGTCCTCAATTCCGAGAGGAATGTAATAGATAGCTGAAAATAAAAGAACATTGTCCATCAGTTCCCACATAAAAAMACTATATCCTT